ACTACTTCTATGACTTCCCCAACTACCAGTTCCGCAGTAGTGTGGAACTTTTACAAAAAAATGACACTTTTCCCAGTTTAGAACTAAGTTAGTGTCTTCACATCTAGCAAGTACTTTATCAAGACTTCGGAGACATACCTCAAAAGACTTCCCAAAGATGGAAAAATCATTCATGAACACCTCAACAAAATCTTCCACCATATCATGAAAAATGGCCATCATACACCTTTGAAAAGTCACCAGTGCATTGCAAAGTCCGAATGAAATGCGCTTGAAAGCATATGTGCCCTAAGGACAAGTGAACGTGGTCTTGTCCTGATCCTCAGGTACAATCAAGATCTGGTTGTAATCGGAATATCCATCTAAAAAACAATAGTACTCATGCCTTACTAGTCGGTCAAGCATTTGATCAATTAAGGGAATGGGGTAGTGATCTTTCCGGGTAGCATCATTTAGTTTTCGGTAATCCATGAAGATTCTCCACCCGGTCACTGTTCTAGTAGGAATCAACTCATTCTTTTCGTTCCTTACCACTGTCATACCTCCCTTCTTGGGAACACATTGTACCAAACTTACCCACTTACTATCAGAGATTGGGTACACAATTCTAGTATCTAGCCACTTTATTACTTCCTTTCTTACCACTTCTTTCATCACATGATTCAATCAACGTTGATGTTGTGCTTTGGGTTTGTGATCCTCTTCCATGTAAATTTTATGCATGCATAACGCCGGACTAATCCCATGAATATCAACCATCTCCCATCCAATTGGTTTCGCCTCCGCTTTAAGATCCTCAATGTCGCATCTACCTGTAAGTCAGACAGTTCTGCAGAAAGTATAACATATAAAGTTTCATTAGTACCCAAATAAGCATACCTTAGGTGTGCCGGCACAGTTTTTCGTTCCAACGTAGGGGCTTCTTCTATTGATAGCTTTGGTGGGGTCCCCAACTCGTGATCTAGTGACTCCACTTGATTCCTACAAGTGTCTACTAGTGCTAGATTTAAGCATGATTCAATCTCTTGAGCTTCAGTGTCTCTCTCTATCTCATGACCCGCTAACACTCTTTCTAAAGGATCTTCGGGCACAACTACTTGTGATTCTACTATGCGATCAACCACAGTAATATCAGACAACTCTTCATAAATAGAAGGTAATTTTAAAGCACGGTAAACATCAGTTACTTCAACCTTATCATGTGCCCTCATAGTTTGTTGACCAACTGCTACATCAATCAATGCCCGACCCATGGCCAAGAAAGGTCGTCCCAAAATGAATGGAACTTCAGAATCGGTTTCAAAGTCTAAGACCACAAAATCTACCGGAAAAAATCAATGAACCTACTTGCACTAACACACCTTCTACCACCCCCTCTGGCCTAGCAATGGATCTATCAGCGAGTTCGAGAATAACAGTGGTTCGTTTTGGACTACCTAACCCAAGCTTTGATAAAAAGATAAGGGCATCAAATTTATACTTGCCCCCAAATCACACAACCCCCAGGCATGAACACTTTGCTCAATTGTAATCTGCACAGTAAAACTACCCGGATCTTTTAACTTTTTGGGCAGTTTGTTTTGGATCCTTGAGCTGCACTCCTCAGTAAGTGCTACAGTTTCATATTCAGTGAGCCTCCTCTTGCTCGCCACAATGTCTTTCACCTATTTAGCATACTTCGGGATACCCTGCAAAATGTCAACCAAAGGTAGATTAATGTGAACCTGTTTAAGGAGAGAGAGATACTTACCGAAGCATTCATCTTTATTCTACTTTTTCAGCATTTGTGGAAATGGAGGTGGTAATTTCTTTTGAGGAACGGGTACCTTAACATTGGAGCTTTTTACTACCTCTTTCACCTATTCAAACATTTGTTCAACGATTTTTGAATTAACTTTGTCCAGCATGTCCGTACATTCCATAAGTGAATTCACATTGTGCGCCTCTTGTTTTGCATTCTCCACTTCATCGCCCCTACCAACATCACAAATAATAGAAGAATCATAATAGGGGTTCAGGGGAAGGGAATAAGATTTAGGACAACCATTCCAATGAATATATTGACGACCACATATATCACATAAAGTACATTCATCAACCAACCACGATTTATCCCAATCATCCATATCAATAAGTGCCAAAAAACTTGTTGCTCCCCAATATACACGCAAGTGTATGTGGTCGCGCATGTAAAGTAGATTCTTAAAGAAATGAGTTATCGTTCCCAAGGGACTTATGATCAACTTATATTCACCTAATTCTACAACTAAAAGTAAAAAGTAACCTTTCCAAGAGTTGATGATATATTGTTTATCTACTAATAATTATGCACTAATTGAAAATAACTAATTGTGAACGACTTTGATATAATGTTTCAAGCAAGATAAAAGCAATTCCAGGGTTGCAACATATAAAGAATATCATGCACCATATTATTGGCTTAGAACAAATTTCAGTTGTCAAGTTACTGATTTATAGGGTTGATGATATGATCCAGGTTATATGCCTCTCGTCGCCTACCCCAGTTAGCTATCTAACTACATCTTTGAGCGGGGATAAATAGACTCACTGGCGAGCATTTATATTTCATCTTATTTCGTAACCAAGCAAGGTGTTCGTCTGGGCATCACTTTTGAACACTAATCACTTCAATTTAATGGGTGGACCGAGCTTTCTATATGCTCTGGTCTATCTAACCTCTCCTCTCCCTATTTTAAGATTAGACAATATATTTATCTTATGGTGCGCAAGCATAAAATACTAAAACAAGAATATAGAAGTAACTTGTATTGACAACGTAAAATTAATTCAACAACCTCAAATAAGCAACAATCAATTCGTAGTTGCAGCTCCAGAACTAGGGCGTTTAGATACTCATGCTATTAGATAATAAGAAAATACAATAGTTCATGCAATTTCTGGAAAATAGAAGAGTTAACGGATTCAAAACCTAGTACAAACTTGAATTCTTGCTCTTGCACACTAAATCAAAAAGTCGACCCTCACAATGGAGCCCTAAGAGTCTATTTATAAAAGTTAGAAAAGTTGGAGTCAAATCCCACTACAATTAGGAATCCTATTTAATGATTTTTTAGATGGAAAAGTCGGCATTTCCTTGGTGTGTTGCGCCTGCCATCGCGCCACAGAGGCGCCTGCATTCTTGATGTAACACCCCTAAATACTAACCAAGAGTCGAATGTCGATTTACCATTGCTTAATTACTAGAATATGTTTTAGTCTCGTTTTGGGAACTTGAAGTGTTGTGAAAATTGCCAACTTGCTTAGCATAAATTCTTATCGTAATTTAAGGATTTGTGATGGGGTTTTAGGTAATAATCTAATTAGAATTATTTTTTAACTTTAAAAGGAGATGAGGGATATATATATAGGTGTATATGTATACATTTGGGCAGCACACAAATTTTTGGGCAGCACCTTGGAAGGACAGCTGCCCAAAGTGATAAACATCACTTGTTGACTATATATTTCACACTTCCTTGAGGTAATTCGTTTCTTCCAAGTCTAAGAGCATTAGAACCTTAGCTTAACAGGTTGTTCTTCAAGATCACAAGGGAAAACTTGGCCCTTTTTGGCTGGAATTCGGGAAAACACCTTTTGTTTGGTAAGTGACGAATTCTGCCTCTGAGCTGGCTAGTGTTTGGTATTTTATGCATATCTCTCGCTCTAGAACTTAGTTTACAGTGAGTAAATATGATTTGGAAAGCTAATTCATAGAGCTACAACTCCTATGTTTATGTCGAACTCTGATTCAGCTGTTATAGACTCGAAATATGAGACGCAAGATAGGACAAGTTCTGTCCAGATTTTGGAATTTCAAATTCGGTATGAACAGCTGTTAGTGTTTTGACTATATCTTGTTGTACAAAATACCTTTTGCGGTGATTCTTGTTGGTTTGCAACCCTAAGATATGTATCTACATATTTCATGAAGCCTATAAAGTCTAGTTTTTCTGTTTTCCATTTCAAATCTAAGTTGCGACATGAGGGACTAGGCTGGCCAGAATCACTGTTTTGGGAGTATTGTTGTGTTTGTGCAGGCTAATTTTACTTGTGATGATGATACTATTTTACATCAATATTATGGAGCTTATAGGGATTAAAGAATGTGTTTTAATTGTATTTTAAAGGTTGTATATACTCGTGAACAAGTTGAGGACCTTGATACATTGGTTGGGCTGTTTCTTGGCTAACGCACGGAGGTTTGTGTATAAACTTGTACCTGCACTATTTGAACTGCTGGTATATTTGAAGGTTCATATTGGTAGATTTGGTTACCTCTTGTCACTTTGCATTGTTGTGTTGGTATCCTTTGAGACGTTAACGACACTTGTGTAACTCGCCCACTTGTATGGATTGTTTGATCACCTAGCACTCTTGTTTGGACCTTGTCCTTCTTGTGGATGTGACTTTGTCACTCTTGGCATGCCTCTTGATTCGGATCAATTGCCATCTTGACTTTGGATTTTTAGTTCGTCTTAAGTATGGAAGTTGTCCATTTTAAGTACGAATTAGAAAGCCATTTTTAATATGGTTCTTGGTTCTCTTGATTATTGGGCTTTGACCCTTCTTGATACAGGGCGTCGACCCTTCTTGATACTTGCTTGTGCTTGGTGTGAAGACATGATGTACATATTGGGCGAGCCTTGTTATTGAATCTCTTGGAAAATGATGCTATGAGCGTTCTTGACATTTGGACCTCTAAATATCGAATTTGATACTCTTGATATATTATTTACTTGATTTATTTATTATGTTCGAGTATGTTGCCCATGACTTGAGAAAGTTTGCTTGTGAATTGGATGGCTCCGAAACTACAGTTTTACACCACTAAGCTATATGCTTAGCGATAGTTGTTTCTATCGTAGGGAATGGTCGAGAGGAGGCGTGAAGAAGGCCTTTGAAGATGGAAATTTTGAGAGCTTTAAGGAAGATCACATTTGCATTTAGGCATCTATATTTTGTATAAACCTTGGGACTTGTACATGATCTTTTTGTTGTATATTTACATGAAATTTCGATGACTAATGTGATCATGTCACCATGGGTTGTAAATTAAGTATGGCAATATGTTTTGTTCTTTTGGGGTGTGTAAGCCCAAGTATTGCAATATACTAAATTTAATATTTGCTTTGAATATTTGTGTGAAGCATGAACGGGCTAATTTCGGTACTTCGAAATGGGTAATATTCATATTATTTCATCCTTAAGTGTGAAGATAATATATGCATGAAAAGCTCATCGGCTATTTGCTTAAATTATTTTTGGGACGGTTTTTCCGTCATAAGTTGAAACACCGTGCCATATCAATTTTGACATCACATGAATGTTTAAATGTACAAGATGCACATCCTTATCTAAAATTTTTTCCTTTATGAACCTAATCCCTCTATTAGACTACAATCAATATGGCCATAGTAAGTCTCTTTTAATTGTCGCAAGTATTTAAGTAGTTTTCTTGCTTAGGTGGTCGTATCCTTTCGAAAGGGGTCGTTACACTTGAAGTCCTGGCGCGTCGCGTCCTGCAGCGCACCCAAAACATGTCCCAGTCCGGCATCCTCTGGCGCGTCGCACCCTAAACATGCCCCAGTCTGGCATTCTCTGGCGCGTCATGCCTCTCAGCGCGCCCAACACTGCTGATTTTTCCTTAGTCGTTTTCTTGCTCATTTTTTCTCCTTCTTTCTTCGCTCCAACTCCAATTTCATCGAGAGTTCCTGAAACATCTAATCATATGTGTGAGTACATAATCATCACAAGTTACACCAAAAATCAAGCTAACAATTAAAGATCATTCTTCAATTTAATCAATTCATGGGCAATATTGACAACTTAGGCATCAGGATTGACTTTTGCCTGCTACCTATTTGATTGGATGTTTGTTTGAAATCTTGTTCTCCACCCCATCTCCATATGAATGAAAAGTTATATTTTGCCCTTGATGTTAGGCTCCTGGGCAATAAAATATTTTTTGTTTAGAGCCAATAGAGTGAAATTTGTTGGATAAACAGTTACAATTTGAAAGAGTAAGTAATGGAATAAATTTATTATAAGAGATAGATGAAAAAAAAAGGAATAATGAGTATTTGAAAGTGAAATGAAGTATCAAAAAGGTGTTTCCATGAGGTGGGAATTTTTGGCCTATTTGATTTACTTTGTACTTATCTTTATATATATATATGTGTAAATTTCAATGTTTTGTAATTTGTGTGGAGCATTGTATTGTGTTTGGCATCTACTCTATTTTCTCAAACAGCCAGCAGTCTTGAGGAATTATTCTTGCTACCTTATGAGGGCCGGTGAAGGGATATCCTTAGAATGGTATGTTTTAACCCAAATACATATTAAGAATCTAGTGTCAGCGAGGAACTTGGAGCTTTTTATTCAATCTTATTGTCATCCTTATTTTTGGACTACCAGACTACCACAATTCTTATTAAGAATGTTGATTAGGGCTTTGCTCATTGTACTGCAATTAAAAACACATTTTTTTGTCTTATAAGTAGTTTATTGTTAATACACATTACTGGAGTGATAACCTATTCTAAGGTACTTAAGATTCAAGATGGTCTTCTCTTAGCTGCTGACATTGGAGGTTAGCTTCTATATCATAGATTTGGTCCCAATTAGTGCTCCTCTGTTTTTCTCTCTCAAGAAAGTATATGTTACATGGTTTCTTGACCAGAAAAAAAGGATAGAGCATTGAAAGACCCTCCTAAAGAAATTCTCTTATGACATTTTAATATCATCAGTTGTTAAATGCTCTCTCTGTCCCAAAATAGTATTAAATTGGATTAAATTTTTTTAAAATAAAAATTTAGATATTGAAAAACTATATAGGAAGTACTACAAGTTGTAATTGTTTTCATATTAATATGGTGAAAGAGTTCACATTAAAATGTTGGTCAAAGTTCATATAGTTTGACTCTCAAAAGAAAAATGTGACAAGTATTTGGGGACAGAGAAAGTAATAACTAATTTACTCATGGCAAGAAGTTGTAGTAGTGCAACGTTGGAAGGAAAGAGTTCTTTTTCCAAATTCTGAAATTTGGATTTAATAATGGCTGAAAATGTTACCTCCATAAACATGTTATTTAGAATATGGAGAATGGACAAGTGTTCTACTAGTGCATGATATTTGTTTTTCCAAATTGATCTTATACTTGTTGGCAGTATATGTTCTTTCCAGTGTGCCTCCGAAGGTTCTAAAATTCTTTATGTTGTTCTAGTCCATGTCAGAACATATGACTATGAGAGAGTAATTTGCGAAAACCCTTTTGGGGCTTCTAGTAGACATTATTCGCGTTCTATTTCATCTCACCTTTCTTCTTCTAATATCTTATTTTTTCCTTTGTTTTTTCTTGTTTCAATTAATAGGGGGGCATATATTACATTATGTCATTAAGTGAGTGTTGTTTAGTAACTCTTGACAGCCAAATTAATTTCTTTTACTAGTGAAGTACTTTCCCCAACTAATATTTGAGTTTGGCTCATTGTGCTTCCCTTTAATGATATCGTTGCAAGTTTTGTTTATTGCATTTGGGTATTATTGTAGAGTTGGGGAATTTGTATGATAACCCCAACTAATTTGCGAGTAAGACATAGTTGATTGATATCATAACTTGCACTTTACACTGTAAATAGCTATATCTACTAACTATGCAAATATTCGGCACAATGTTTTTTTTATATATGAGCTGATGCTTTATTGAATCTACACTATTTTTTCTTATTAAGTGTTATGTTTGCTTCATTTTTCTTCCTCTATTTTTACTTGAATTTGATGCACTTGAGCCTAGGGTCTTTCGAAAATAGACTCTCTACCTCCACGAGGTATTGGTAAAATTTGTGTACACTCTACCCTCTCTAGACCTCAGTCAATGGGTTTCACTAGGTATGTTGTTGTTGCTAGGTGATATTTGATGTTCTTGAAAAAATATTGACCAAAAACCCCTTGCGAGCGAAAGCAAGGGGTTTGCCTTCTGGGTCGAGCTCGTCGCACCAGGCTTGCCTAGTGCGGGTTACCTCTCCTATGTGGTTTGCGAGCTATTGCATAGGAGCGGGGGTTTACCCTGTGCGCACCCAAAGGGTAGCGGCTGCGGGTTTCCCTTGTCATCAAAAAAAAAAAACTCCAGGCCACTATTGCAGAACTTGGAGTGCAGGATCTAGTTAGCCTGGGTAATTTACATGTTCTTTTTTCTTTACTGAATATAAAATCTTTTCATAAATTAATTAAAGTTGAGGCACAAGCATATATGGGATATAATTGAATACAGTTCAAGAAAAAAATATTTGTGTATTAAACGTTTTTCGCATTTATGATGGTATTCTGAATTATTTTTTTTCTTTTTTAAGATGCAGATTCTATTGAAACCAAGAAAGCTCATGGAAAGAAAGAAAGGTCTTGCGAAATGAAGTAGTCTATGGAAAAAATTATATGAGACATGCAATTGGTAAAGGGAGGTGTGTAAATGCAGTTTCATCAACAAATCTATAAAGTTGGGAATAACATCTCAAAGTTCTGATTCGATCAAAACAAGTGAAGCTCATAAAATAGGAGAAAGACATAGTGGTTAAATTACATTGTATCATATTGTTTAACATACTCACATCTTTGTAATAAATTGACTACAATTGTGACAGAACATTTGTATTAGAATTGTCTTTTGATTAACAATAAAATCTATTTTTAACCACAAATTATATTTGTATTTTATCATAATTGTAATTGTAACTAATTATGATAATTTTTAGTGACAATTTTATTGTGTCAGTAAATTATTTGTTTTGGTGACAACATGATAGATTTTAACTACAAAATTATAAGTCACAAAATCGTCACTATTTTATACATTTGGGGACAAAATATCTTTTCGTATATAAAAGAACGTCTTTAGTGAAGAACTACTTTTGTTTGACTACGAAACACATATAACTTTAGAGACAATTGATGGTGCCACTAATTAAAGTAATGATTTAGTGACAAGTTACTTTTGTCGATATTAATAACCTTTTTAGTGACAAAAATACACTATTAACTACAAATTTTTATACTTTTTTTGACGAATGAGTTATTCATAAATACTATGCATTTCGTGACAAAAAATAAATTTTGTAGTTAATACAACTTTATTTGGTGACGAAACACTAAATTGTAACTATATACCTTTAGTGACTCAAGATTTAGGGATGAACAAGTGACGATATTTTCTTCATCATAAAAGATTTTTTGAGACGAAATATGTGTTTTAAGTGACAAAATGTTTCGTCATTGATAACTGAATTTGTTGTAGTGGTATTTGTGTTTCTCAATAGTGCTATATAACCATTGATAGGCTGGGTAATCTTCAATAACACTAACTTTCTTTTGATCTCATAGAACCATATCATAGAACCACTTTTCGATCTCATCTATGTGAATTACAAATCAACCTATTACCTTACATAAATCTTTCTTTCGAGTAGATTTATGCAATTAAAGATGAACCATAAACTCTCTGTCGAACAAGCCATATAAATCAAACTTAAATTGTACGCATTGAACTAATTATTCATTCAAATGATCTATTTCGAGCATCAATAATATGATTAAGTTTGCAACCTTAACCCATGAATTAACGTCATGCTAATTGCTCAAAGTAATGAATGTATAGCAATAAAATAGAGAAAAACACAATATTCACTACATTAAATCAACACCCAACCACATAATTGCACCCCTAGAGTTGGGATTTTAGCCACACATCATGATAGCAACCATGGATGAATCAACAACTTCGATTTCAACTCTCAATTACCCATTCAAGGGTGTATTTTAAAACCCAAAAACTAAGAATGTTTCTTCAAAGGTTAGAAAACTAATTCTCCAAAATCTCATACAAAAATATTATACAAACTATGAATCCATTTTCTCTCTCTTTCTTACTATTTATAGTTTGCCCAAAATTTGCCCAAGATTGCACCCGTGACTTATTGGTGACATTAGTCGGGCTCGCTTTACTCATACAACGGATTTTCATTTGATCTTGAGCTCGCCTTCTTTTGATTTAGGTTTCAAGGGTCTGAACCTTAGTTAGTGAACTCAATCGAGTCAGCCCTTCACATTCGGTGGATCCCCAATCACCACCTTGTTTGCCTTTGCAACTTTTATTTACACTCAGAAATTTTTCACTTTCGGCAATGAATTCCTATTTCTCCCATTCACTTTCGCAAATCACCATTAATGTCTTTAGTCCACCAACCTTCCTTGAGTCTTTTCAACTTTTAACACTATTAACTTGGGTGAGGTCAGGCCCTTTGGGCGATCCGCCCTTTTTGTTAGGCAACCCCAACTAGGAATTTCTACTCTTCAAATGCTTTTGGCCTCTTTTTTATCTGTTCATCCCTACCTTGTCCTTTAGCTTCCATTAACCGTAAAATATCAAAATATCTTTAGAATAGGACATCAATAGGCATTGATAATAGTAATTGTTGAACTTAAAAGTCCTCAAATGAGTGTAAATCTACAACTCATCAACAACCCCAACTTAAAATTTTTCTTGTCCTCAAGTAAATCAAGAACACAATTAGTTCTACAAGTGTGTCTACTATAGTTCCCAATGAGGGTTAACATGCAAGTGTCACGACAAGACTACAAATGAGCGTATGCAATGACTCAATCATGCTCAATAAACATTAAATGATGACTAATCGGCATCAATACAAGATCAAGCTCACTCATGCTCTCCAATAATGCAAAATCATGCTTCAACAAAAGCATTTAAGTGGACTCACATAAAAAGTGATTATGTAATCTTATAAAGCATATCAATAAAAAAAAGTTAGGAATCAATACAACTCTCACTCTCTAAAAGAAAAATACATGTAAGCTTCGTCCCATAGGTTTGTCCATATTTTCCAATCATCAGACAACCTAGTTTATGCAAGATCACATGGGATATTTTAGGCTTGTAACGGGGTTGAGGGTAAATGTATGGTCAATTTGGCTTAGTGACTTCACATTTTCAAAGCATTGTTGTACTCATTTTCACCTCTTCTCAAGTTCTTTTAATTCTTTTCACTGGGGAACTCAAACCTTAACTTTTCACAATATTTGTTAGATACCCCTTTTATTTCATCACACTTTCTTTTTTCATTTTAATTTTTAAGATTTTTCTCTATCCCTCCTTTTTTTTTTAGTGAGGGGCTCATTCTTTTTGTCACAAACCTAAAAGTTGAGTCTCACTTTTCTTTCTTCACCTTTTGCTTGACTTTCTTTCCTCCTTGCTTTCCACACCCCCAACTTAGGTGTTTGGCTTAAGTTGACTATTAAAAAAAAATCAATGCTTAGAAAAGGGTTTTATGGGTGAGGAAAGCTACGGATAATTTGGCTCAAGAGGTTTCAACAAGGTTGACAACAAATAGTTAAGTCTCAAATGGTGCCAAAATGGTTGTACACCTCATAAGGTAGTCATAAAAGGTATGAACATTTGGGTTCCCTCTCAAAATTTGTGCCAAAATGGTTGCACACCTGATAAGCTAATGGTTGATTTTAAGGTTCCCAAGCTTTGGTGAGTCCTCATGTTTTGAGGGTGAATTTTGATTGTTCTTAGTTCTTATTTTGTATACCAGTTTTGGACATGATGTATGGGCTAGGCAAAATTCTATTGTATTAGATGGCTATTGAGACAAAATGTTTTAGACTTCTGCTTTTCTGTATAAAACTATTGGACTTGAAATGTTGTTTTACTTCTATTGTTCTATTTCTCATGTTATGAATGCTAAAGGGTTTGTATGAGGTTCCTCGGGGTCCTATATACCATGTTACATCTTTGGGGTACCCCTGGGTTGTGACAAGAAATCAACTACTTCAACAACCAATTTTCTTAAAAGGCACTTCAAAAACCAACTATGTCAAAACCGATTGTCTTAAAAATCAACCACCAAAAACTAATTATATCAAAACCAACTATCTTAATAATCAACCACCAAAAACTAATTTTCTCAAACACCAACTGTTTCAATAATCAACCACCAAAAACCAACCATTTCAAAAACCAATTGTCTAAGAACCCACTTAAAAAACCAATTGTCTTAAAAAACCAATAATCACAAATGCCTTACTCATCAACATTGAGCTGCATAACAATACCCATCACGTCCATTGAATTTTGATCACTGCCTCCTTTTCCCTTGCTGCCAAGCCTTCTTCTACATTCTCTTTCAACTTATCCTTAATTTCTCATCTCGTATAAAAGTAACAACTTCCGTCAATTATTGTTTAAGGGATGCAACACGCTCACACAAACTATCATCTTTACAATTACTCGGTTTATTGTCTTGTCCACTCGAAACAGAATTGTCACAAGATTTGTTGGAATGGTTATTACCCAATATTTCATCCTCCTTGTTCTCTACTACTGAATTGAGGACAATGACACCTTTCAAATTGGCCTTTAAGGCATCAATGACTGTGTCCTTCACTTCATCCTTATATGGCTTTAATGTTGCCATATAACTTTGTTTTGTCTCACGGAGAGTAAGTGTGAGGTATGGGTGCACGATCTCCAATATATATATATATATAAATAGTACACAACATTTAATAATTTACAAATATTGCTAGATAATAATAAATAGATTTATACCTTTGTACTTAAATGAATCACCTTCGATAATATTATCTCTCTTTGTCGTGTGCAATCTAAGTAAACGAGAAATGGGCAGAGGAGAATCCAAGGACTTCTTGGCATACTTACCAAGATGAGGAAAAGCCTCATTTATCCAAACATGAAATTAATAAAAATAACAAATAAATAAACATAGACTATGAAATACTATATAAGTATATAAGAGTTTAATATAAATCAAGTACATAATTGTTAACAAATACTAGAAATGCCCAGGGGAAGCCATACAGAGCATACGATGCATTACCTCTTTCATTGTACACTTCACTCTACTTCTTCAAATTGATTTTGTTCTTCAAATACATCATTGTTAGATCAAAATACTCTTTCCCTCATGGATAACTCTTGAAGAAATCTAAATCATCCACTATCTTAATGTGGTTTGAATCCACAATCTTAGATCGATCATGGGTAAGCAACATCGAGTGGACGAAACAAACTAAAGATCACTTTAACTTCCACTCCTTATTCAATCTGGTACCCTTAATCAAACTCAGCAACTTTGTAGCAGTAATGTTCTTACTATTGGTCACTTTATAATGAAATTTCTCAGCTTTCTAAAGTACTTCTGTCATTTTTGCATCACGGGGGTATGCATGAGCAATTCAGCCACGTAATCAATGCAAATTCTCTTCAGCCAAAACAAGAAGGCTTATCACTCACACAGAACCACATCTCATGCATTTTCTTTTTGTTAGACAATTGACATTTTTTCCAGCTTATTATTTTTACTGTTTTTTACTTTTTTCAGTTTAGTGCTTCCTATTTTCTAGTTAGACTTAGTCAACTTTAGTTGCTCAACTTTCTAAAGTTAGTGGCCTCTTTAATGGCTATTAGTGGCCCCTTTTATGGTTGTTAGTGGCACATGCTCTTATTTAGTTTTAACATCTTCTTTGTAAGTGGCTACTAGATAGGAAATGGTTAGGTTTTTTCTTGTATAAATTCAGATCTTATGCAAATTAATACATAGCTAGAATTTCATAAGTTCACTCTATTTTTATTCTTCAAATCAATTTCTTGAGTATTTTTGTTCTAACAGTGGTATCAGAGCCTCTAGTTGATCTTACAGGACCAAAAAGTTGTAACCTACAACACAAATGACATCCAACAACCTACCTTTAAATCCACCATTCACTTTCACCGGTGAAAATTACCAAATTTGGTCTGTGAAGATGCAAGCTTTTATGGACGCATATGAACTTTGGGAAACTGTGACGGAAGATAAACCACTTACTGCTCTACCAGCAAATCCTACCTTAGCTCAAATCAAATCCAACAACAAAGAGAAGGCAAAGAAATCTAAAGCCAAGTTGCTTATGCAGAATGCTATGGCAGATTCTGTGTTTTACAGAATCATGGCTTGCAAAATAGCAAAAGAGGCTTGGGATAGGTTGAAAGAAGAATATCAAGGCAGCGATAGAACACGTCAAATGCAAGTGTTGAACTTGAAAGAGAGTTCGAGTGCTTGAATATGCAGGACGATGAAACAATCAGTAAGTATGCTGATCGAATCTCCTTAATTGTTAATAACATTAGACTTCTTGGTGAAGAATTTACAGACAAACGAATTGTGGAGAAAGTTCTTGTGACTCTTCCTGAGAGGTTTGAATCTAAGATTTCCTCTCTTGAAGAATCCATGGACCTGGGAAAACTTTCATTAGGTGAACTAATGAGTTATCTTCAAGCACAAGAGCAAAGGAGGACTATGAGAAGGGACAAGTTCACTGAAGGATCTTTCTCTGTACAAAAACAAATATTTGGTAAAGGAAAGCAACAGGTCAACCAAAAGAATAAGGGCAAGCATGATGGAGGAAATAATAGTGGAGATGTGAAGCAGAATTCCCTCTATGCAAACATTGTAAAAGAACTACACATCTGGAGAAGTACTGTTGGATGAGATTCGATGCTATATGGGGCAACTGTAAGCAGATGGGGCACATATCCAAGGTCTGCAAATCAAGAGCAAAGGCCTCTGGTGCTTTGCAAGCACAGGTAGCAGAAGCTGTAGATGCACATGAGGAGCAACTCTTTGCGGTTTCATACTTTTCAATCAATGAATCCTCTGATTCATGGCTTCTTGATAGTGGTTGCACACATCACTTGTGCAATGATGCTGAAATGTTCAAATTCCTCGATGATACATAAAAATCTAAAGTAAAAGTGGGAAACAGTGAGGCAGTAGAAGTCAAAGGCAGAGGTACAGTGTCTATCTCAACAATATCAGGTATCAAAACTATTCCTGATGTTTTGTACACACCTGATATGAGTCAAAATTTGTTGAGTGTTGGACAAATGCTTGAAAATAATTATTCTCTGCATTTTAAGAATCGTGAATGTGTTGTTTCTGACCCTTCTGGAGTAGAATTATTTTATGTCAAGATGAGCAACAGAATGTTTTCAGTTGATTGGGAGAAAATAACTGAGGAGGCATACACTATTACTTCACAAACATGTACAAACCTATAGCACAAAAAGTTGGTCACTTCAATCTGAGAAGCATCGCAGAGATGAAAAAGAAGGAGCTAGTGGAAAATATGCCTGAATTTCTTTCTAATGCTCAAGTTTGTGAAACTTGCCAAGAGGGAAAGCAAACAAAATTGCCATTTCAAGAAAATCAAGTATGGAGAGCTAACCAGAACTTCACCTCATTCATACGGATGTTTGCGGCCCAATGAAAACAGAATCATTGAGTGGTAACAAATACTTTCTCCTCTTTATTGATGACTACACCAGAATGTGTTGGGTTTATTTCATTAGACTGAAGAGTGAAGTCTTTGATGTTTTTAAACAATTTAAAGCTTTAGTAGAAAATCAATGTAATCTTAGTATTAAGGCTTTAAGGTCTGACAATGGAGGAGAATATACTTCTTCTCAGTTTGTGGAGTTTTGGTAATAGCACAGGTATTGAATGCCAATTGACATTACCATACACTCCACAACAAAATGCCGTGTCTGAAAGGAAGAACATGACAGTAATGGAGATGGCCAGATGTCTTTTGCTCGAAATAAAGATCCCACATCAGTTTTGGGCGGAGCTAGTCAATACCTCTATATATTTGCTAAACAAATTGCTTACTAAGGCCTTGCAGGACATGACTCCATATGAAGCTTGGTGTGGGAACAAACCATCAGTACACCATCTTAGAATCTTTGGGTGTATATGTTATTATCAAGTTCCAGAAACAAAAAGGACTAAGCTGGACAACAAGGCTCATAAAGGCATATTTATGGGCTATAGTTCATCCAAAGGTTACAGGATTTTATGTTTGAAATCAGAAAAACTAATTCTCAGCCGAGAAGTGAAGTTTGATCAAGCAGCTGGTTGGGATTGGAAAAATCAGAAGACCTCTTCTTCTGGTTTATTTTCAAAAGAGCAGCCTCAACTTTCAAAAGATGAACTAGTGGATGATGTACCAGTGAGGGGAACTCGATCCTTAACAGATGTCTATCAACAGTGTAACTTGGTTACCTCTGAACCAACAAGCTATGCTGAAGCACAAGACTCTCAGGCATGGATGAGAGCTATGCAAGATGAACTAGACATGATCAAGAAGAACGGAACCTGGCAGCTTGTTGACAGACCTAGAAATCGCAAGGTGATTGGTGTAAAATGGATTTTCAAGACAAAATTCAATTGTGATGGAACAATTTGCAAATATAAGGCTAGATTGGTGGTGAAGGGATACGCACAACAATATGGTGTGGAATACCAGGAAACATTTGCTCTTGTAGCAAGGTATGACACAATCAAGCTTATTCTTGCATTTGCATCTCATAGTTCCTGGCAGATTCATCAACTTGATGTCAAATCGACCTTTTTGAATGGTTTGCTTGCTGAAGAGATCTATGTAGAGCAACCTGATGGTTTCTCAATTCTTGGAAAAGAGGATCAAGTTTATCTCTTAACGAAGGCCTTGTATGGCCTAAAACAAGCTCCAATGGCATGGTATGAGAGGATGGACAATCATCTCATCCAACTTGGCTTTAGTAGAAGTCAAAAGTGAAGCTACTCTGTATGTGAAAGTCATTGCAGGTGAATCCTTAATTGTCTCAATTAATGTGGATGACATGCTTGTGACAGGAATCAAAATTGAACTAATCCAAAGGTTCAAGGATGAAATGGAGAAAATCTATGAAATGACTGATCTTGGAGTCATGGCGTACTTTCTTGGCATGGAAGTGTTGCAATCCAGTGATGGAATTTTCATATGCCAGCAAAAATACATTTCGGATATTCTAAATAGTTTCAAAATGCAAGACTGCAAACCTGTGAGTACTCCAATCTCTACTGGTGTGAAGCTCTGCAAGGATGAGGATTCCGAAAAAGTGGATTATAGTATGTATAGAAGCTTAATTGACAATCTTCTATATCTAACCGTAGGCAGACCTGACATTCTATTTGTTGTAAGTTTGCTCTCTAGGTTCATGCATTCGCCTAGAGACACACACTTCACAGCGGCTAAAAGAGTGTTAATGTATATTAAAGGAACCAGCAAGTTTGGAACCTTTTTCCCAACATCTGCCGAAGTAACTATGAACCTAATCGGGTACTCTGATAGTGATTGGGGTGGCGGAGTTGATGATTCCAGAAGCACCTCTGGATATCTTTTTGTTTGGGGACAAGTTGTTTTAGTTGGAGCTCTAGGAAACAAGAAACTACAGCTCAATCAACAGCAGAAACTGAGTACATAGCTGATGCATCTGCTGTGAATCAAGTTATCTGGCTAAGGAAGATGTTGAAGGACTTGGGCCATGAACAAACAAAAGCTACCAAGATCATGTGTGACAACAGTTCAGCAGTTTCAATCTCAACAAATCCAGTGTTTTATGGTCGAACTAAACATATCAAAATCAAGTTTCATTTTATTAGAGAAGTCCAACAATCTAATGAAGTGTTACTTGTTCATTATTCAACTGAGAACCAGCTAGCTGACATTTTCACCAAGTCATTGCCAAAAGGAAAGGTTTGAAGATCTGAGGCAATGAATTGGTGTTTGCCACAAAAATGCCAAGGAGGAGTGTTAGACAATTGGTAATTTTTCCAGCTTATTATTTTTACTGTTTTTTACTTATTTCAGTTTAGTGCTTCCTATTTTTTAGCTAAACTTAGTCAACTTTAGTTGCTCAACTTTCTGAAGTTAGTGGCCCCTTTAATGGCTGTTAGTGGCCCCTTTTATGGTTGTTAGTGGCACATGCTCTTATTTAACTTTAACATCCACTTTGTAAGTGACTACTAGATAGGAAATGGTTAGGTTTTTTCTTGTATAAATTCAGATCTTATGCAAATTAATACATAGCTGGAATTTCAAAAGTTCACTCTATTTTTATTCTTCAAATTAGTTTCTTGAGTATTTTTGTTCTAACACTTTTATCATTTTCACACGTCGCAATAACATATAATGGACAATCTGTCCATTGAACTTGAAATATTCTGGAATATGCCTCAAGTGTGTCCTGGTAGTTGTCAATCTCAGTCATTATTAAGAATCCGAGTAAGACTTAGGTTCTTCAACTAATTTTTTTTCTTTTTTAAGATCTAGAAACTTCTTCAGCCTTTCTTCTCTTATTTTTAGATGTCTTAGGAACACATTGTTTAACGATGTTGCCTCTAGTTTTGGCCATACTGTACTATTTACAAAAACATAGTTTTCATATCAAAATATCGACCACTAGTCTATTAACACAAACAGAGTAATGCTTAAAAAAATATGCAAAACAAGTAGCAGTTCCAACAAAACTTGATAATTCCATTGACATAAACACCATTAAAGTCGACAAAAATACAGTAAAAACTTTCAAATCGATAGGCCAGATAAACATAAAAATTCAAAAATTTCTACGCATTATCCAAAGCAAAACGTCAGTAATGATTCTGAATAAAAAGCATGAACTAAAACGGGTGACATTTTCAAAACTTTAAGAAAAAATCTAAACTTCGCTACACTATTGCAATAAAAAAATCAAATAGGCTAAAACTTATTGAAAAGACAATTAAACTTACTTGAGAGGAAGAATATTGAAAATAATTCAACAGAACTTGGGGAAGATGATTGAAAAAGATTCAACTGAACTTGGGAAGAAGATTGATGAAAAAAGACATACTCCACTTCGTTTTTCATGAATGACTATAGGATCTCACTTTTATTTATGTTTTCAAAAATGGTAGATGGATGTTTTGTTGGAGAATGATCAGTTTTATGGAGGTTGATGATTTCAATAAAGAAGGTTTATGGAATACGAAGAGTTCTCTGAGAACGTTATGAGGTTTTCTCAAAAAATATTTACCCAATATTATTAAATATTTTTTGTTAGTGAAAAAATTACAAAATAATAGAATTACAAGATTAAAATTGAAAAATAAAATGAAAAAATAAAAATGTCTTCTGGCTGAGGCGCGGATAACTTGCTCTCTTTAAGGAGATTCAAGCCCACTGAAGCAAATGTTTTTCACATGTCCCGTAGTAGTCCTTCTTGACTTGTCCCCTCCAGGATACAACAACCTAATCACAAAATATAACTCAACAAATGTGGAAAAGAGTTGAGTACAAACCTCCACAAAAAAAACACTTCCCTTCAACTAATAAGAACTCTGTTTTTGATAGACTTTATGCACTCTATATTTTCTTGTGTATAAAACAAATGAAGACTACCACTATTAATAGTTGAGAAAGTCATGCTACCAATTGATAGGAAGATAATGGTATAGCAAATAGAAAAGATAAATTGCCTAGGAGTTACATAGGTTAGAAGGAATAATGGAGGAAGAATAATGGAGAAGTAATAGTGAAGGGCAACAAATGCACTAACCTGCTGATATTACTATATGACCATTGCCAGCGTTTCATTGCAAACGTTCACTGCAATGTTCACAAAGCAATATGCCATAATGCCTCTAGTCATTAATTGACCATTGAGTAATTACGCACCCATGCTATCCATTGCAACAAAGCTTCTAGTTACTCCAACAATCAAAAAAGAATTTGTTAATGTGGCAATTCAAAGAAGTAAAATAATATAATATTAAAATGCCTACACTAACATTGTTTTTATATTCCTTGGGATAGTAATTTAATTTTTTTGTGGGATGAATATATCTAATGTTGAAGTGTTGGGATGAAAATGATATTCCCCAAGTTCTTAAAGTG